AGGAGAAACCCCAAAGGAACTGCAGGTCCGGCTCAAGGACTGGTACATCAAATGGATGAAGCCTGAAGCAAAGACAAAGGAACAAATCGGAGATGCCATCATCTTGGAACAGTTTCTTGAGGTACAGAATCCTGATGTTCAGATGTGGATTAAAGAGCACAATCCAAAGACTTCCAAGGAAGCAGCAGAACTGGCTGAAGCCTTCTTGTCAGCACGTCGACCATCGAAAGACTTCATTAAAGCTAAGTCACTTTCGTACTTTCCTTCAAACAAATCATCTGGTGGCACTGACTTTGGACTGAAGCATCCAAGACAGAACTGGAATAACTCAGATCCTGTCAGATCTGAGAACAGAAGTAAAATAAATAAAGCTTGCCATTTCTGTGGCCAAGTAGGTCATTTTAAAGCACAATGTACTAAAAGATCTGCTAGTAAAAATTACATGTGTGCAGCTTTAAAAAATCATCTCAGTAAGGACAATAGAAGTATAGTTGATTTTCAGCAACATGAACCTTCTGTAGGAGTGCTTATTGAGGATAAACCCTGTGTAGCTTTGCTAGATTCAGGAAGTAATCGCACTCTGGTTAGACAGGACAGTCTTCCAAGGGATGTCATATTTTCTGAAGCAATAGTTGATGTTTGTTGTATCCATGGTGACAATGTACCTTATCCTATTGCTGAGGTTTCAATTGAAGTTGAAGGTCAGAGTTACACCCTTTCAGTGGGAGTACTGCAAACACTGCCATATCAAGTGGTGTTGGGTCGTGATCTCCCAATACTGACAGAGCTAATAACCAGGCATTCCTGTCGGGCCGAAGTTAGTGAGAGTTTGCTAGCTATCACGAGGTCAAAGTCTGAGAAGCGACAGGATAATTCTTCCGGTTGGGATGAGTTACCTTTTGCAAAGGAGGATGTTCCATTGAGTGAGGTTAGCGTTAGCAAAAACGTGAGAAAGACCAAAAGGGTGAGAAGACGTGAAAAGGTCAGAGGAACAAAAATAGCCGGGCACAATTTAGAACCTTTGAATTCTGAAGGTCTTCCCAGTGCTAGTGATGTTGCTAAGCTACAGAAAGAAGATCCAACTCTTAAACCTTTGTTTGCTAAATGTGTTCATGAGTCAACTCTAGTTAAGGGCAGAGAGGAAGTATTTATGGTTAAGGGGGATCTGTTGTATCGCCGCAGCAGGATTGGTGACCAGTTGGTGATCCCACAGAGTTTGAGACCCACTATTTTGAAAATGAGTCATTCTATTCCCTGGGCAGGACATTTGGGGCAATCTAAGACATTTTCTAGAATGGTTCCCAAGTTTTACTGGCCCCAGCAGTTCACTGACACAGTAAAATACTGTAAAGCTTGCCCTCAGTGTCAACTAACAGCTCCAGACAGAAAATCTGATAGGGCTCCACTAGTTAGCATGCCTATCATTGATACACCATTTTCACGCATTGCTATGGACATAGTTGGACCTTTAGAACGGAGTAAGGCAGGTTATAGGTATATACTTGTGGTCTGTGACTATGCCACAAGATATCCTGAAGCATTTCCCCTGAGGAAAATAAAGGCTCGTCAGATTGTAAACTGCCTTATACAGTTGTTCTCTAGAGTGGGAATCCCTAAAGAAATCATCACAGATCAGGGCACCAACTTCACTTCAAAGCTGCTTAAAGAGGTCTACAGTCTGCTGGGAATTCAAGGTGTAAAGACCAGTCCCTATCATCCACAAACAGACGGTCTTGTGGAGAGATTCAACAAGACCTTAAAATCAATGCTCAGGAAGTTTGTGAATGATACAGGGTCAGATTGGGATCAATGGCTTCCATTTCTTCTATTTGCCTACAGAGAGGTTCCACAAGCGTCTACTGGGTTTTCACCATTCCAACTGCTTTATGGACATCCAGTCAGAGGTCCAATGGATGTTTTGAGAGAAGCTTGGGAAGGATCTAGGTCAGAAAAGATGTGCACTGAGCTCTCATATGTTCTTAAAATGAGGGACAGGTTGGAGAAATTTCAAGAACTTGCCAACACTAATCTGGCTCATGCACAACAACAACAGAAGCGGAGGCACGATAGAGCTTCAAGAAGAAGAGTTTTTAGTGAAGGCCAAAAAGTTCTTCTTCTGTTGCCAACTTCAGAGAGCAGTCTTCTTGCAAAGTGGCAAGGACCATATCAAATCACAAAGACAGGCCCAGTCACATATGAGCTTTATCTCCCGGACCGTCGGAAGACCCATCAAGTTTTTCACCTAAATCTGTTAAAAGAATGGACTGATCAGCCAGAGGCTGCAACTTCTATGTGGGCACGCACAGTTGTGGATGAGGATGAACCTCAGGAGCAGTACTTTCCTACTTCAACTGTCAAATCTGTACTACCAGACCTTCATCATTTATCATCAGAAAGACGTCATGAGGTGCAGCTTCTTATGACAGAGGAACTCTTCAGTCTGAAGCCAGGTCGTACACACCTCATTGAACACAAGATCACACTGCATTCACCAGATCAACGGCCAATCAGAGATACCACTTGCAGGATTCCAGCTAAGCTACTGCCTGAGCTTAAGACTGAGCTCGAAGAAATGCTGGCTGCAGGGATCATCAAGGCTTCGTACAGTGAGTGGTGTAGTCCAGTGGTTCTTGTTCCGAAGAAAGATGATTCTAAACTTAGATTTTGTGTGAACTTTTCTAAGTTAAATTCTGTATCCGCTTTTGATCCTTATCCAATGCCGAGGGTTGATGAACTGATTGATCGCTTGGGACATGCTAACTTTCTGACAACCCTTGACCTCTGTAAAGGATATTGGCAGGTGCCATTGACGGAATCATCAAAGGACTTCACAACATTCAGAGTACCGAGTGGATTGTTCCGGTTCACTGTGATGCCTTTTGGTTTGCATGGAGCGCCAGCAACATTCCAAAGGTTAGTGGATCAGGTTTTAAGAGGTGCAGAACAGTACGCGGCTGCATACATTGATGACATTGTTATCTTCAGTCGAACATGGGAGGATCATCTGAAGCATCTTCAAGATGTGTTTCAACGCATCAAAAATGCAGGGCTTGTCATAAACGGCAAGAAATGTAACATCTCCAAACCTGAGGTGCAGTACCTAGGGTATCTGATTGGAGGTGGTAGTATCCGCCCTCAGATTGGAAAAGTGGAGGCAGTTGCTGCAGCACCCTTACCGAACACCAAGAAAAGACTGAGATCCTTCTTGGGATTAGTGGGTTGGTACCGTAGACTGATTCCCAACTTTTCGTCTAGGGCTGCTGTGCTAACAGACATGACAAGAAAATCTAGTCCTACAAAGCTAAAGTGGTCTGAAGAAACTGAGAATGCCTTTAATGATTTGAAAAATTGTCTGATTCAGAAACCTGTTTTGCAATGTCCAGATTTTGATCTACCCTTTACAGTACAGACCGATGCCTCTGATGTGGGTTTAGGAGCGGTCTTACTGCAAGGAGTGGAAGGACAGCAGTTGCCAGTTCAGTACATCAGCCGGAAACTTTTTCCAAGGGAGATGAGGTACTCAACTGTTGAAAAGGAAGCTTTGGCAGTTAAATGGGCCTTAGACACACTGAGATATTATCTAATTGGAAAAGAATTTGTTCTTGAAACTGATCATCGGGCTTTACAATGGATCCACAACATGAAAGACACTAATGCAAGGATAACAAGATGGTATTTGTCCCTTCAGCCTTTTCGTTTTCAGGTCCAGTATCGACCAGGACATAAGAATGTTATTGCTGACTTCCTGTCCCGTTACTCAGAGGAATAACGGCCTTAAGGGGGGGGGGAGTATTTGTAAATACTTTTTTTTGCACCCTTGTTTTGCAATGTAAATAAACCACCTGCTACATTGGACATCTGCCTACTGCCTTCTTCAGCCACTTGGCCAGGCTATCTCACACTGCAACAAAAGGCAGAGTTAAAATCAAAGTATTATTTTTTCCTGCAGCTTCCCCAAACTGGTTAACCACTTAGCTGTTCTGCGCTTGAAGGAAATCCTGCAAATGTAGCGAGAGGGATGACTCGAGAGCAACAGCAGCCAATGTCAACTATCTCCAAACCAGCAGAGTTATAGCTGAAAGGTTGTCCAACCCTCCCTTTTTAATCATCCTTGTTTTTATTCAAGTTTAAACTCTTAATAGCTGTAGCTCTTTCTCTCTGTAACAAACTCATTGGTGCTTTATTCTCTCTCAGATCCTCTCAAACTGTCCCCCTTTCCATAAATAATTACTCCCAGGAGCCCCTCTAGAAGCTTGGAGTTTTCTTTTTTTTCCGTGGCGGAGGGAGGCCATATGTGGTTTGTCTCATGTCACATCATTTACAGCAGATTTCTACTCCCACACCCAACTTCTCCACAGAAATCTGTGCTTAGAAATGGAAATGTAAGCAAAAGGGTCCTTAATAAAGAGTCAGACGATCCATGTTTATCGAGCATGAAGCCAGTTTTAGCTGTAAAAACATGGAGTAGAATTGGATTATCCTGATACTCTAAAGGATCTCTAAACTAAAGGTGTCTCATGTCTGCAGTGTGCAGACTGTTTCCAGACAATCGTGAATCCCTAATTCTACTCAGCTATCTGACAAAGCTGGCTGCTCATGTGGTAGAGGTATCGTCTTACAAGGCAGACAAGTTCATGTGATTAAGAACTTTAGAAATGTGATAAAAACCTCACTTAAATCACAGTGAAATCCACAAGAAATTAGTTTCTATTGCAAGCGAGGGATGAAAGGAGCCAGATTTCACATTTAATCGCCTATTAAATACCCCTCTAGATATTGTAGACACGTGTGACAAACGGATGCTTCTCTACATGCACAAGCTCAAGAAAAAACGCTAAGCAGTGACATCATGCAGGAAAAGGTTGATCCGAGGCTGTAAACATCCTGTGAGATTCCATCTCTATGCCGCTGTCCAAAACATATCTGATCCAATCAATGACGAAATTCCAAATTGAGGCATTCTAAAGGTGTTAGTTGACCTAGCATGCAGGAACACTCACCTTCACATTTCGGATGCTAACTAGTTTATCCTCCACCTGAACCGCTAGCTTTCCTCCATCGGTGGCCTCCCTGTGGAACAAGATTAAAGGGTAAATAATTGGATGGGGTTTAGGTGTGAAAGAGGGAGCATAAATGCAAAACAGTTATTTATACCGTTTTACCATTGCACATTAGGGTACATTAGAAGCACAAAGTTTAATATTATTTTAACTGCAGAGTTCATTATTGTGCTAAACTGCTCAAGCTTAGTCAGATGGGGGAGAGAACTACACACATATTCCCATCAACTTTAGTCAGCAAACTCATATCTACTGATGAATAAAATACCCAAAGCATGATGCTGCCACCACCATGTTTCAACATGGGATTGACGTGTTCAGGGTTCTGTGCGATGTTAAAATTCTCCCACCTGAGCTGTGGATCCCTACAGCTCATCCAGAGTTAGCAAAGGCCTCCTTCTTGCTATTCTAAAGCCGCTTTAACACTGAAAACCCGGGTTTTTCAAAACCGGATTGACCCGCCAACATTCAGCATTTGGCTATTTTCTCATTTGACAGAAAAACCGAGTCCGACCCCCTGATGGCAATCTGCGTAGCCTCTGTCCCCCACCACTGCACGTCTAATGACGGCATCACGCTGGGTGGGCGCTGAAGATCTTGACAGTACTGAAAAAATTAAAGTCGAGATAAGTCATTTTTTCCTAAAATAAGTGCATTTGTTCTTGAATTATGAAGGTAATGGACACATTTGCCAATGAAACAAGACAATTTACATTAAAAAAACACAATTACATTGTCTTATTTCAAGTGCATTTTATCTTAATATCTTATTTTAGGAGAAAAATCCTCATTCCATTGGCAAATCGTTTCATTTACCTACTCAAATTGAGGGTAAATACACTTAATTGAAGAACTTTTTACTTATTTCTAGATCGTTTTTCCAATGAGTGCAACGCTAATCACGGAAATAAATAATGGAGAGCGCTGTGGACGGGAGCCACAGCGTAGTCGTTATTCTTTATATTTTCGCACTAAAATCTGTCCAAACTTCTGTCACCAGTGCTGCTCCATGCTTATTGAATGTAAACAGAGTCATTTCGGCTTGTTAGATCAGATGTGACTGCTGTGGTGTGTTCACCTCCCACTGCAAAAACGATCTAGAAAAAAGTTAAAATTTCTCACAATAAGTGTATTTACCCTTAATTCGAGTTGGTAAATAAGATAATTAGATAATATGCACTTTAAATTGTTTTTTTTAGGGATGCACGATATTGGGATTTTGGCCGATATACGATATGCCGATATTTTAAAACTCATGTAGCCGATAACCGATACCGATGTTAAAGCTGGACAAAAATAAGTAGTCATTGAAAATAGCAGTTTTATTATCCATTTCTGACACTTTGAAAAATAATATACTCAAATATATGCTGATATCAAATTGATTTTTAAAAACGCGGTATGGATCTATTTAACTTTCAAAATCTCATGAGATTTCATCCTTCTGTTACAAACTCTCGTGATATTTTGCAAATTCTTGTGAGATTTTGTTAGTAAAATAGATCGATACCGCGTCAATATATCAACATATAAAAATATGGCAAAATTTCGTGAATTTTCGGGGGATTTCGTAGCATAACGATGACATATAGCAATATTTCATTAGTAAAAGTGATTGATATGGTGTTTTTAAATGGCAATATATCAGCATATGAAGATATTGGGATATTTTAATGGATCAATATTTTTTCCCTCGTCTTTAGAAGTTTTTAAGTCTTTAAAAAAGAAGTTTTTGAGGAAGAAGAAGAAGTAGTATTTATTTTTTTTTTGACTTTAGAAACTCAGAAGCTGATCAAATATCGGGTTAAATATCGGTGGGGTGGCCGATGTCCGATATTCAGTTTTAAGGCCGATACCAATAGGGGGCCGATTATATCGTGCATCTCTAGTTTTTTTCTTATATTAAAAATAAATTGTCTTGTTCCATTGGTAAAGTTTATCACTTATCTCTTCAATTCAAGAGAAAATGCACTTATTTTAAGAAAAAAATATTTTTTTTGCAGTGCAAACAAAACAAAATTACAATTAGGATCGTGAGTGACCAAACAAGGGTTCATATACTTTGAACAAGTTCAAGTTTTGCATAATAGTGCACTTCCTCAGCAGGCGGCTAGGTTTTACTGACACTATCAATGCTGATCAGCTTCTCTAAATGCAACAGGAACATTTCCTTTTGGGTTCAAACTTTATTATCAGCAGATACACCATTTGTAATTGCTTTAAATATCCCCTATTTTTCCATGTTACTGAGAGGGTGTTCAGATGCATTTATGCAAGTTCCCCTTGACTTAGATCATCGCTGCTCTGTTAACACAATGAATCTTTGTGCCTGATGCATGAAATTACCAAACAAAAATCTAACAGTCCAGTTTCAAATTCAAAAGAAAACAGACCCCCATGCTCTGCAGAGACTTTCACTGGTGAAGCAGCTTGAACTGTTTCCACAAAACAGAGGGAGAGCAAAAAAGTGTGTGTGTGTACGTTCCGGACTGGTGTGTGTCATCCCAGCTGTGCGTTCTTCAGCAGCTGGACTGATGCAACACAAAGGAAACTAAAGGCAACACGAAGCTGGAAGCTTTATCAGTGAAGCTTTTTTTTTTTTTAGGAGTGATTGTGACGACTGGCTGCAGGACAAAAACTCTGAGGTAGTCGTGCTTCTCAGCTCTCCTTGTGCTTCAGCACGTGGAAATCATTTTTGCAGGGGCCCAACCCAGAAAACCACCAACCTTCAACGTCAGGCTCAAAACAGCATGAAGGAGAAGAGAGCTCTCTGAGCGTAGAATGGCAAACTATAAAAGAAACTCTGCTTCTATACAAACCAGGAATTTCACAGTCGACCTGCCATGTTTCTCACATGTTAGATGCTGCCCTTATTCTCAGGAAGGCTCCCTATTGGTCAGCAAAAACAATGAGAAACAAACTTGTTTGGCTCGCTGAATGTGGAATACAGCTGACCAGACTGGTGCTAGTTTTATCTCTTCAAGGTAGAACCTCCTACAGAAATATGAGGAGATAAACATCCTTAAATTAACAAAGGACACTGATAAACAGCTCAATCGTACAGTAACTCAGGAAGGAGAGATTTGCATGTTACAGCTTTGCGCATTTAATGTCATTCTTTTGTTATGCAAAGTAAGGGAAAGACCAAGTGAAACAATTATTCAAGCCGTGTTTCTGGTCTGGATTAGTGCTTTGTTATGGACCAGCAGTGGCCTACAGCTGAGGCAATACTGTAAGAGTTCAAAGAAACTAAGCAGCGCTGAGAGACTTTTATCCAACAGCTTATACCAATTTCCCTGATAAGGCAAAAGAGTCGTCAAAGAAAGAAAACTGACTTTAGAACCTCCACATTTGATTTTACTACAAAACTAGGCACATTGAAAAAGCCTAATTAGGAATATAGGATGACTGATGTTGAAATGAAAGTCTTTAGGATTACCTTTGGAAAAAATAAATAAATAAATAAATAAATAAAAAGCTCAGTGAAATTTTCTTAAAAATGAAAACTTATGAATTCTGCTCCAGGTTCAGATAAATTAGGCTGCTGTAACTGTAACATTTTTAGAGGAAATTAAAAGTTTTCATTAAATAACTAGATATAACTTTTGAATAACATTTCAACACATGTACATATTCAACAAAAATTAATGGACAAAAAAAAGATATTAATTACATAAATAAACACATTAATAATAATTTAACATATTTTTTAGAGGGTCACCAACATAACACGGTTATTTTTGGGGGGTCACAGACCAAAATGTTTGGGAACCCTTGTTTTAAAATAGCTTTAAGCGGTGCAGTGTAAAATAATTCAGTACTGTTGTGTTCATGCAACATGGTTTTAATGCTTGTCATTTTAAATTAAAAAGAAAGAACTAAAAAAAAAAAGTTTGGGGGGGGTTAAGGGGTTCAACTTATAAAGAAAACAGTCTAACACATCTGAATTGCTTTTCAGTGTAAACAATCCAGTAGAGTTTAACAAATCTAGGTGTTATAGAGCTAATAAAAAAAAAAAAAAAAACTGCAGACAGAAACTAATGACGCCCCCGTACAATAAACGCCATGGGCAAAGAGCCTTATTAACCATATAAAAAACTTAACCCAGTTACTTTGGAAACTATTACGGCTAATTTGCTTATAAGTTTAATACATGTTATGGAAAAATGTAAGAACATTTACACTCTTTCTTTACATTTTATTAAGCTAGCTTAATAGCTTATAAGTCGCGCGAGACATTAATTCTGGCGAGACTGAAAGGACTTCCCACTGCAGGTCTAAATGAAGCTAATTTTATTAACGGTTAATTATTAACACCTCAGTAAATGAACTAACTTACCTTTGGTTGAGAGGACGGACCCGAATGGCAACTTTAACATTTGCCATAATGCAGCCGCTTCGCTTCCTCTCACAGCTCAGCAGCTGAGTGCTTCAAAACTAACGGAGCTCCGGTGACCATGCTGAGCTTTACTCCATATTATCTAGAAAACAGTAGAATAATGGTGGTGATGGAAAAACGTAGGATCCTTCACATCTCAAGTCATCATGTAGTGTTGTAGTCCCGCCCGCTGCGTCTCTCCACAGAAAACAAAAACTTCCTCCTGGACGGACACGGAGGAGGGACGAGATGCTGCTCAACACCCCTCCCTCTGGACCGCATTACCATATGTGGGATTCCTGTTTGAATTTGAATCCACACTTTGTTTCTGGACAGAAATGTCGAATATATCGGTAGCAGACACTGCAGTTGCTTAGGGGCCCCCGACCTCCGAGGGGCCCCATCACTGACACCTGGTGGGTCCCTTACGCAATTGTGGACTAGGACGTCGCTTGGCAGACGTAATGGTGGTTTAAAACGACACCAATATCAAAGCAGACAGTGAAACTTTTAATTATCATGTTAATAACTGTGTATAGTTCATTAGACGGTTGGTTAAAAAAAAATAAACTCATATAATAGGTTTCAAACCACAATAAAGATCTTAAAAGAACGATGTATTTCAGTATTTTATTTTTTACTCTACAGCTTGGAATTATGGGTAATCCAGGGCGTCAATTAAAACCATAACCGTTACCTACAGTGTGTTAGCGATGGGGTGTTGTACCTCATATGGGGCCCACCCAGATAATGTTGCTTACGGGCCTATTGTTGAGTTGTTACGCCATTGCTGGACAGTATACCTGTATATTCTAGTTATTTGTGGGGAAAATAAACTACTATATATGAATGTTAATTTCTGATACCCCATGGGTTAGATTGATAGATGGATAAATAATTATAGAATCAGATATGTGAATTAAATAATATTTAAATTAGATAATACAAATGTTTGCATTTGTATGACAGAAAGGCATTAAGGAATATTTTTTTCAGGTTGAACCACTACTTTAAATGTCACCATGTCTGATTTAAAATGAAAAACCCCAAAATAAACACTGCAAAATACCATGAAACCCTATTTGAAACTCTGGATGAACCCTCAGACTTAATAGAGCCACAGCTTTACTGTAACTCAATCAAATTGGGACTGAATAACTTAAAGCATGTTTGTTCACTGGAAAAAAATATTTTTCTTAAATTAAGTGTATTTACCCTTAATTTGAGAAGGAAAAAGAGATAGTTTGCCAATGGAATGAGTGTTTTTACTCTTAAAATAAGATTAGATAAAATGCCCCCGAAATAAGACAATGCAATTGCATTTTTTCTCATTTTAAGTGTAAATTGTCTTGTTCCATTGAAAAAAGTTTCCATTTTACCTCCTCAATCCAAGAAGAAATGCACTTATTTTAAGAAAAAAATGACTTTTCTAGATTTCAATTTCTTCCAGTTCTCCACAAAGTGCGCAGTGTGCTAGGTGAAAATGGGATTTTTGCACAATGCCAAAAGTGCAGAAATGCATTTTTTCATTAATAAAAGGGAATCTGGTCAACAAATATGTTGATTTACATCATTGTGACCTTCTGCATAAGACAAAGCCTTTGCTCCTACGATTCAGCCCTTTTTTCATTGAAATGTACCATCAACGTCATCAAACTGAATAGAGAATAAGAAAACAGAGTAAGCTTATGTGAAGCATGCCGGCTGCATCATCTGAAATGGTCCCACAATTACCTCTGACCCCTCCATTGAAAGGTCTGAGCCTCTCGTTTCCAATGATGCCGGCCATTAGGGGGTGGGGCTAAAAATTAATACCTGCTGTTGCATTGATCCCGCACATTTCAGATTTTATTTGTTTACACAGCTATATAACAAAAAGTATTTGATAATATTTTGAAACACGTTTTTGAAATTTTAAAGCGGCAGTTTGAAAGGCATGTGGATGACACATCATTGGACTCTGTTTTGGCCATTTCTATAACTGGATCAACATGAAGAGGTGTCAGCTGGGCCGCTAACCGGGCCCGCCTGGATCAAGGGGTTAAAGCAGATCTGAGTTTTTAAGACACTATAAGAATGGAAAGTTGGGAAACATTTCTGATTAAAAGAAGACACCTAACACAAGCTGCTGCACAATGAAATAAATCTTTATTAATAACTTCATTCTTTGCCAACACATTAAAATCTTTCAGTTTATAAGATTCTAGGAATACATCACAGTTCAACATGAACAATAGCTATCACAAACGCGTTAAATGCGTTCATGAAATAAGACACATAACTCCTTATGTGATCAAAGGCAACAAGTGAAAGTGCTAAACTAACTGTCGCTTAAACTGAACTTACTACATAAAAAAACAGCAATATTTGAAATGTTGAGGTTTACGTTTCACTTAAAAAGAGTTTGGAAGGCAAACATTTTTCTGGAATAAAACAATCATGTTTTTCTGATACAGCTTCAAGATGAGAAATGATTCATGGTTCAATAATAGCCATAAATGACGGGAACTTTTGGTCAGTTAAATCTAAGTTGAAGAGAAGATCATTTTGTGAATTCAGATGGTGAAACTTTAAAAGGCTAAAGTTTGGGAGAAAACATGCACAGATAAGACACTGAGGTGGTGGCCCTTAAAGTTGTTAGTGGAATACAAGCAGGTATTGCTGTCAGGTTGCTCCCTCTATTGTCTGATGCGATGGCTGCAGCTTCTCAAAGCACATTTGCATCTCAGTCAGAGGCAGAGAGAGTTCAATACTCTGTGACTGCAGCTGGAAATTCTCAATCAGCTCCTGAAAATAGTTAGAAGTAGGATCATTATCAAAGAAATAAGCCAAATTGGTTGCAGGAGTCAAAATCAACGGTGGAATCTTACCGTTGGCAAGGTCAGGTCTGTTAGCTTCTTCCAATAGGATAGGACTTCTTCCTCACTCAGTATTCCTTTGTTAACCAGCTTTCTAACAAGGAACAGGTAGTTCTTCTTCTAAAAAGAATACATCAAGACAATTTGTCGATTTAATTCAACAATCTCAAAATAATCAAATCAAACTGAGGGCTGATAAGGTAGATTGAATGAAATAAGCTGCAGTTTACAACCCAGGGATTAGATGCATATTAGAGAGCATCAACCATACATATCGGGCCCCCTTAGTAAAGGATGCATTAAATTACATTTCTAAGAGCATAATCTCAATTAAAATTAAATATATGCAACAACTTTTAAACAGAATCACCAGTGATTTATTTATAGGCATCAATGCTGCTTCTAAAATATTCCCATCTAAAACCTCCTGGTATCTCAAAGTCTTCATTATGCCATGCACTTGAAAGAGAAACCGGCCCACAGCATCAGTCATCCTTCACTGTACTTAACCGTTGGCATTTTTGCATATATGCATCCTGTATCCAAGCCAAAACTACCCAGAATATTTTTCAACAAGAGGCTTGTTGTAAGTCTGATGTAAACAAAGCTCACATTTGTTCACCAGACCATGAGACGTGTCTCTAAATGTAAATGTCTTTGTTTTCCAAGTGCATATGCGAAGATTATTCTGGCTTTAGGATCACTTATTTATAAGGTCTCTGAAAATAATACAGTATTTAAAAGAAAAACCCAGATGTAACATAAAAAAGCTGTAAAAAGCCACCAGAATGCAGTGTGTAACTCAGCACAGCAAAGTTGATCATACCTCTGTGTCATTGGCCTTTAGCACAGCAGCTACAGTGATCGGGGTGAAGAGCTGGTGGAGGGGAGCAGAGGCGCCGTAGCCTCCCTCCCACAGCTCGGCAAGCTGCTCCAGAATTTCTGACACAGAAGGCTCTGACCCGGCGCTGGGATCTACAGCAACCCCTCCATGCCTGCTGCCCCATGATGAACGCAATGGCAGCTCTCCAGACACTAAACAGGCACAAATAACAATAAACAGAGAGATACATCATAAGGTACAGCTCATGCCTCTGTAATAAAGCCTGATTACGGCCCTTAACCTCTTACCCAGCTTGCAGGCGAGCAGCACTGTACAGTTCTGAAGCATCTGCTCTGACACAGTGCTTAAGAACTAATCAAGAAAGACACGTGAAAAAAAGAGTGTTATCCACATGCAACACTGATATGTTGCTAACAATCGTTTTCTATACCTTTCTGCACTCTAACGTGTTTCTGACTCTTTGAAGCTGTCTTCTGAGCTGAGAGCCTGTCGGAAGCTCCTCATCTGTCCTGGGGCCTACGGCGATGCTCAGAATCTCCTAAATAAGAAAGAAACTCCAGATCATTTTACATTCAAGTCAGAAAACAGCCAGATAGAGATACAGCAGGTAAGATAAGCAGGGTTATTTAAATTAAATTGGAAGATTTCAAGCAAGAGCAAAATATAATCTGAATTCTTGACATTTCTCCCATTTTGTCACATCACAATAAAAAACTTTAATATAGTTTACTCATTGTCTATGTGATGGATAGGTGGTGGAACGGTTTCGGGTCACGGTTTTCAGTTCAGTTCGGTATATGTTGATTGTTGGCCTGACATGTTGTTCATGTTGCTGTTAGCATAAACTGTTAGTATTGCACAATGCTTGCACACGGTTTTTATCCACAGCTTTCTTTCCGCCGTCATCGTAGGTCACTCTAAATGCAAAGCGCTCCCATACAGCAGACCTATAAAGTGCTGCTCGCCATACCCACACAATTCTCCACAACAAATGATTTTTTTCTGCTACACCCGGCTACGCTGCTTCGCTGCTTCTTCTTCTTGTTTACTACTGGGGGTTGGCTTTGGTTGCAGTACCGCCACCTTCTTCTCTGGAGTGTAAACGCTTCGCCTATGAGAAAAAGGAGCTGCGCATGAACCGAACGAAACACACGCGAACCGAACCGAGACAGTCGAACCGAACGGTTTTCATAAACCATTCCATCCCTAGTGATAGATTAACAAAAAAGTGACAGAAATATGAAAATACAGACAATTTAAGTTTGCAAAGCAGCTTAAAGGAATAGTACACCCAAAACATGATTAGCCTTCATTTTCTACTCACCCCCATGCTGAACAACACCCTGGAGTAATTTTTTGATATCTCAAATGCATCTGGAGATTTGGGAGGCTTCTTGCTGTCTACTGACATTCAAATAATGGAGGTCTATGGCGCCCGAGGCAGAAAGGTCCATAAAAGTCCACAAAAACGTGTCAATATTCCTCCATACTGCTCGTCCAATGTATTCCAAGTGTCCTGAGTGGGTAGCATCCAGAATTTACTCGAAACGAAGTCATTTAGAATGTTTTTAGAGCATAAACAGTAGTGTATAGGATTTCCTGAAAGCGCGCGCCTGCGCGTTCACGACGCTACGGAAGCCGGCAGACCAAACCAGATGAAAGGGCGCATTCAGCATCTGCTCTGCCGATAATGCA